CTCCCAATTCCCAGAGTAAGGAATCCGATATGCCACTATATTTCGCACAAATTATAGACACACTTGAGTTTCATTAGTATAGACGTGGTAATGAATCACAGTAATGTAGTTTCATTAATGTAAACATAGAAAATGCAATAATTAGTCAGGTTTTCCTTTGAAAGACTGTTTTGAGATTAGGCGTATCTTTCTCCACAGAAGAAAGGAATTTTTCCAACTCTTTCTAATGTACACTGTATAACAAGAAATGCTGCATACTGCAATAACATCTAACCTACATCTTAACTGCATAGATTACTCCTGTAATACTACCTTATTTATAATTTTAACATTTCCAGGGTAAGATATAGACCTGTTCTTTATCTTTAATGCTATTGCATTATTTGTCAAGAACGTGAAACAAGGCAGAGGACTGAAATCAGCACAGTATGTTTTGCATAAAGCCAACCAAGTTCACAGTAATTTCATGCAAAGGCTACACATTTTAAAACATGCAACTATTACTAATTCCTATTACAACGAACAACTACGTTTGTGCGAAGAGTCCTCTAAGAACAAGATCAACGTCTGTAAAACTTTCATTAGCAATCTCAATTTGAACCACAAATGCCTGTATTGGAAATAAATTTCCAGTTTCTTCATACTTCACCCAGAGGTAAAATATGCTTTAGATTCTGTGGAAAAACTGTCAGAGAATTTTGTTGCTTATTTGTAGGTTATACCTATAGCGTGGAAATAATCTTTATGTTCTAATTTGTACAATACCTAGCACAATGTCAGCTAGTTCACAGCTTGGGCTCTAAAACATTATAGTAATGCAAGAAACAAATACTAAAACATACATCATTACAGAATATTCACTATATCCAGCACCTCACACAGCTAGACATGAGCTAGCTTCAAACTGGAAGCCGTGCAAACATATTAGCATAGCACTGTATTCAGTCTAGCAAGTCCAAGATCTCAACAGGGATTATTAGTTTGAGCACAGCACTGCACTAACCTGCCTGTACAGCTTCCAGTCTGCCGTGGGCTCACATCCCACTGGCTTGGAGCCTGGGAAGGTTGGGTCTGTCTGCAGAAGACTGTGCGGGAACACTCACAGTTATTTAGAGTAACATGAGGAGCCATTCAGATACAGAAGCTCCACTTAAACATTTTTCATTCCACTACCACAAGTCTCCATGTTAGCCAGTCAATCCAGATCCACTTGTAAACTACAGCTGCTTTATTCTGCTTTGGCGTAGCAGACTAGCCAGTATTCCCTAGAAGGCCTGCACCATTTTGGTACACTAAATAGGCCGTTAAAAATTAAAACAAAAGAACTGAACTTTGCACAATTAAGATGCCCAACTAATTCTACATAGCTTCAGATAATTAAAAACACAGAAAAACATAATAGGAGTAGATAATACCTTCTTAAAGTGCTCCATGTATCAGTCTCTCAAAGGGAAAATGTATTCCATGACAAAAGGTTACATAAAAACTAAAATCATCTTTCTGGATACAGATTGATAATGTGAGGGAAAGAAAAAAAGGCAATCATAGATGCCTTTAGTTTCTTAAGACCAAGTATTATGAATTAAAAGTCAGAGCTAATACACACATTAAAAGAAACCAAATTAGAGTTACATATGGAAAGACCGCTACCTTATCCCAACAACATTCATTCTGTCTTGTGACAGTACCATAAGCAGAATGAATGCATTAAAGAAATTACCAGATTTTTTAATCATAAACATTAAGTGCCTCAGACATAACTATGTGCTATTTCATGGTATTACTGAATGCAAAAAAACATGTATAAGAGCAAAACCAGATATGTGCATTTCTTGATTCAACATTCTGAAATACATTCAGTGGTACAGAGGATGAGTGCACTTGCCATTACCGGTTTCATACTCCCCTCCTAGAGATCCAGTGCTGACAATAGGCAAAAACTACAACTATAACTTCTTAGGTTATGGTCACAAACCACAGCCAGTTATTTAAATAAATGAATATATAAATATGTGCATACAACAGTTGGGGGAGGGAGGAAGATTTCACTCTAGTGGAAGGAGCTGGGTAGATAAATCCTGGAGATCTGACATTTTCTACAATACAGGAAACACTAGCATAATCACTATTTCCTTCGATGTTTCTTATCTGTTCCAAGATCACTGGTCATGCGTCAACTCTAAATGCAATACATTAAGCATCTTGTAAATCACAGACCTGTCAGGATGAGATTTTTAACTGCAGAAGTGAGTCAAATTAAGGTATTTCAGTAGCAGTTAAAATGAACAAAGTGCCAATTCTGACCTATTGACTTAAGAGAAGCCCATGTAAATCAAAAACAGCGAGCAGGTAGCAGAGGGGCTCACTGCTTGCTAGAAGCTGTAGGTAGCATTCGTTCCTTCCCTCCCAGTGTATGAGGACTTTCTGAGTCCACCTTTTCACATCAGGCAGAAATTGCAGTAAAATTCAAAGAAGCTCACCTCACCGAAAAAGCACAGCACTTCATTCCAAAAAGAAATGTCTTCAGAGGGCTAATCTGGCATTCAAACGTTGGGCATCATCCACTTTAAACAATCTGTTTTATGTAAGCGTAAAACAAAACCATAGCCTGTTTTCTACATTCCCACAATCTTGGATTACTTAGCTTACTGGCACAAAATTGCAGCTTCCTTCAGCAGTCAGCCCCATGGGTCAGCGTGATTCCTTTGAAATATTATTAGCTATAGTTTCTGAAATTGTAACCGTAACTGTCTTCCACAGAAATGTTTGTGAAGTTCCCTAGAATGAATCCAGGCTATTTTATCTGTCATTGTCCGGGGTTATTTTTTCCTTCATTTATAAAGTTTTTCTTTTTATTTTGACAATGAAGTTAAAGAGACTGCAAATAATTATTATAATGCATGACACTGCAACCAGTACCTGTATTCCCATCATAACTTTCATACACACACACACACACACCCCCAGTACAACATTTTCTAAAAAACTGTACCCCTTTCTGGTGACTGCAGCTAATCTTCAGAAACAGAGCCATAAGGCAGGAATGGACTTACAAATTAGACTTCAGCCTGAGCCAGCTGTTTTTTTCTAGTATTATTCCCTTTGCGACCATCTGTCCCACCTGCTTATATATTTTTCCCCTCACACAGACTCTCCACTACAATGATTTGCCATTCTGGCTGACATACAAGTATCGATGGAAAGGAAACTGGATTAAATCCAACTTTGTGCCACCCAATATTTGGAGCTTTGGTAAGGCACCTGCTTGACTGCTGGTATAATTAAATCTGCCTTAAGCCTGCTTTAGTTTATGCCCAGCTCACCTACGACACAAACACTATCAGAGTTTGTTGCCACTCTGTCTATCTTCCTTCTGGACTGTGTCAATGAGTGGAAGGAAACAGTACAGTGCAGTTACACAAGAGCCTCCTCTCTGTAAAGCAATTTTTGATTTTAAATACACTAGCACACTCTACTGAATGAATCTACTGAGATCTATCTTGTCTATTTATTAAAGGTGAATTCACAAAACAACTCTGCACTCTATACTTGTGAATTCTTGGGGTTTCAAAACTGGTTGCGTGCCTGGTTTTGTCAACATTTTCCAAATCAGACCTTCTGGCTGAAAAGTGATCCTAAATCTTCCTTCTTGGGCAGAATTGCCAGCGAGACACAATGCAAAGAAATGAGGAAGAGAAGAACTGGGAAGGGCTGAGAATGGGGAAAAAGAAATTAAATGGCATGTCGCCACACAGTGAAATTCTGTAGTCGTGGACTCTCAAGAATTCTTTGCTGTTTTCAATGAGACCAGCATCCAAATAAATCTTATCAAGGAGTCCAACACATTTTCTGCAGCATTTATTTTCCGTATCTGGTTAAAGCCTGGCAATTAAAAGGGAAATAACTACTTAAGCGTAATTCAGAAGACTGCACAGCAATGACACTGCCCAAAAAATCAGGAAGAACATGACAGTTACAAAGTGTATCATTATAATTTCATCTCATGAACTGCTGACAATAGTCAGCAATAACAGGAAGGGAACTGCTGAAAAAGCACAACTGAGGTCACCTTTTTCTGGGTACTATTTTTAAACATCTGCAAAATATAGATGAGGCTTTTTAAAGATTGTAGAGCAGGGAAAGAAAGGGGGAGAAAGAATTACAGATGTGTGACAAGGAATAAAGGCAAAAGAAGCATAAAAGAGAGGCAGAAAGAAAAGGGAATGAGGACAGAAGGTAGAATTTAAAGGAGCACATGCTGATGAGCTTTTCATTTCCAACAGAAAATTAAAAGTTGACATCTGTGTCCATACAGTGTTTAAAATGAGCTCTTAGTTACTAGCACTGCATTCAGGAAGGAGGCAGAGGAAAAGAGTGATATCTTAACTGAGCTCAGTTCTAAGCAGAAGATTAAAATAAAAAAAGAGGGATTCAATTTCATGTCAGTTCCTGGCAGCTGCTCAGCATTCCTTATTATCATAGCCCTGTTTGCTTGTTGAGTGCTGATAATGTGCCAGAGCTGTGGTATACTTTGGAGTCCTTCTGAGATCCTTAGCTCTGCAACTTTGAGACCAGATGGAAAAACCTACTTTTGAACACCATTCATAATGCCAAAGTTTAACAAATAATAGAGTGTTACATAGACTTTGTTTGGAAAACACCTTAATGGGGAGAATCAATCTTTATTTCTATTGCTTTTGAAGCAGGTAAGAGTTAAAAATAAAATCACCTATACCATTTTAATTTTTTCTTAATGACAACTAACCTTTTAGCTAGTATCTGAAACTATAATAAATTAAAGTTCTTCTTGTAATATTCTTAATTTCTACATTGAAAATATTTTCAGCAAATGCAACTTACAGAATTATTTACAGAATTATGACGTTCAACCTTGTCAGTAGCTATGAACGTCTGCACAACAATCACTACCATGTTACGGATGCTGTCTGGCACCATCTACTGAAATGCTTCGGACACTTATCTTTTAACAGGCAACATACCTTGAAAGATTCAGTCGTATGCTTTGCTGTTTCTTCCGAACATTCTCCAGCCATGCACTCATTCCGACAGCCCTAGAAGAAATAAAACCAGAAGAAATCAAATTCAATGCACATTGCAGAAAAGTTGATACACATTCAGCTAATTCTTTTTAGGGACAGATTGTATTGAATGATCACTCAGACTTTGTCATCAGTTAATATATTAGCAAGAGCTTCTTGGTAGTTTCTTAGCACAACTTTCCACCTTCTAGGTTTTTAGTTTTAATTCAGTTGCATTATTTTGCGCAACTGTATTTCAGGGCTTTATAGGAGAGACAACGTCTTAGATTAGATTACCGCTCTGAAGTGCGGAAGGGTATGGGCATCATCACAAATCTTTCATTCAAAGCTGAATAAATAAATCGTGTTTTTACACAATTCCATCAGATCCCAGTTTCTCTACTAAAGCATCCACCTAACAGATTTGCTTTTGCCTTTTCTCAGAGAAGCCTGACTAGGCAGAATGGAAGAAAAAGGGAAAGAATTGTTTCTGTTAAATCCTTCATTAAATGAAGACAGTGATAAGGAATGCCCACCTACATAAATACATAATCAGAGTATTTTGAATTATCTACTATGTTGAAGTTAAGGGTTCTGCCACTGACCATGCTAGAAAGGAGTGATAGTTCTCACTATCACTCTATCACTATATCAGTGATATATCTCACTATCTCAGTGATAGTTCTCAGCATCCTTCTGTTCAGCAACAGAGGGAAAACACAAGAGAGGTGCAAGCCATCTACCTAAAAGCAAGATCCCCAGTTTCCACAGCATCAGGCTAGCATCTTTGTGGACCCTCCTGCACTAGCTAGACCTTCCTTGCCAATGGCCAGTAAATGCATATTACACCGAACAGAACGGAGCGAAGGAGACAGATACAGCCCTGACAGCATTTCCTGTTTCCGAAAGAGCTCGAAAGGCGAAGTGGGGGCAGAGGTTTGGGAGAAGGAGGAAGGTGCCAGGAGCAAGACTGTCTGGGGGATGGGCCATGAAGGGGATGACTAGGAGGATGGCTTTAGAGAAGCACAACTGGCAAGATGGAGGGGATGGCAGAAGGGATGGCTAGCTGCTGAGAGGAGGCCAGTGATGGGTGGGCATGAGGAAACAGTCAGGCTGGTCAGAGGGGCTCTCTAAGGGGGTGAAGGGACTCTAAGGGGGTGAAGGGAAGACAGAGGCACTAAGGGAGGTTGTTGCCAGGGCTGACAGGCAAGGGGCTTTCAACCCTACAAGGCAAAAGCCCTAGGAGCCTGCACTGGCTGCTCACCACTTGATGGCTGCCTCTCACCCTGCCACCCCTCAGCCTTGCTGCATCTTGCGTGGGAAGTCCCAGCCCAGGTGGGAAAGCCACAGGTCAAAGGTATAATCCCCTGAAGGAAAGAGGTGCACAGGAAACCCTTCATGGTCAGCCTGTGATATCCCTGCCCCAAGCTCTTAACCAGGGAGCAGCCCTCACCCTACAAGGAGGGCTGCGTGTAGGGTGGATGGCAGTGCCGGGGAGGCACCAGCCACCACAGTCCTGCAGCAGCCACCAAACTGTGGGGCCAGGACTGGGGCCGCATGGCTCACGGGCTGTGAAGCATGACACAAACAAGGCAAATAACGTGATTTTTTTTCCCTTTTTGCAGATCTTGGGGATACGGTAGACGGGGGGAAAAAAAGCACGGTATCTTCAGTGGGCCTTTAAAAGATAGCAGGCTTGCTACCAACAAAAGAAAAAGCAAACTCCCAGCCACAGCAGATCTCACTTCCTCTCCCCTCCTCCCCAACGCCCCAGGGAGGCCATAACATCCCTCCTGCCTTTTCTCACCATCAGCTTTAACTCTTCTGTTCCTCTTTTTTTCTAACCCTCTACAGCGAGACATGCAATCACAGCTACAGGCTCCTTGCTATCAACTAAAGGAGGATCTGCCGAGAGAAATCACAAATCTCTTCACAATGTACCAATATGCTTTACCTTAAAACCTTATCAAAAATATGTTTTTTTACTCCAGAAAGACAAGTCTTTTTGGTAGAGCGTTCAATGGCATTCAGTGTCAGACCCCAGCAGGACTAAAGTGTTTCCCAAACTGAGGGACAGTCTGAACTAAGCACTGTGTAACAGGTCCTTCCTTCCCTGTAATTCTTCAAATACTTCCAAATTCAGTGGTAAAATCCCAGAAGACCTTCATGACACCATCAGTTTATAATAGTTAAGTATTCTGCAGGTGAATTAAGGCAACTGATTTTTCTTTGCACTGCAGTGAATTAGGATGGTTAGCTGGTTACCAGCTAACAGGATGGTAACTGCCAGCTGTGGAGCAAGAATTTCTCAAGCAGCTCCAGCTTCATTGCTAGCTTTTGTCTAATATCTAGTATGCAAAGTTGGATTTTCTAATAATAATCACTGGTGACAGCAAATACTGACAAATACTCAACCATTACGCTTCAGTTTCTTCCCATCTCTGCTTTACGAAGTTGCCCTAAAGCAAGTGTTGGCATCAGCACAGAGAGGACCGAAGCTGGATATAGTTCAATATTCTCTTTCATGATCTTTAAAAAGGTACAAAACTTGTATGTGAATTTCAAGTGTGGACCACCTACAGGAACAGCCCCTAGGGGCTTGATCGTGTTGCCCTTCAGCTCAAGGTTCCCACTGAACTCAGTTAAGTCAACAGCCCATTTTTTGGGCATGTGCCATGGGGCCAATCCTGTTCTCCATGAAGTCATTATGTTTTAGAGATTTAATTCATATTTAAAGCAAGTAGCTAACTGCCTTTGTTAACCGCACTGAGATTAAATTGAGTTAATCCCTCAGCACTAGAAAGACATACCACAATTACTTTCTAATTGATGGAGTCATATTTTAATGGCTCCATGGCTTTTAAATCTGAAACACGTTGTTAAATGCAATAGGGAAAATTACTCCCTGGTTTAGTGCCAACATTGCCAAGGGAGATATGCCAAGCGTGAATTTGCCCTTTGTGTTTAATAGCATGGTAGATTTAAAACTGCATCCATTAAACACTGATGTTATCCTAAAGATACCTTTGAGCCACTGGGTCAATGTGTCCGCAAAAGTCACTCAAGTCTGTATCAAGTTGCTATGCAATTACACAAGCATGACAGTATTTCCTATGTTGTGTTGTAGAGATAACAACATTTTCTTTATGGTACATGTAACTGCTTTTTCGAAATTGGAAATAGGACAGTATTTCACAGTTTTCCTTCAAAAATACTGAAATTGCACATTGATTTATGATTACTGTAAAGCCTGTATGAGAAAAAAGTGTAAAACATTACACTAGATCAAATTTTGTTAAAAAATTGGTTTTATATGTCATTGTATCACCAAGAAACACTACTAAAATAAAGACCTGGTGATGAGTAATTCTGTCTTTACTTTTATAGAAGATCCCAATGCCATAATAATCATTGCAAATCCTTTAGCATTTACAAAAGTAATCACAATATACTCAGTTGGATAATAGTTCTCCCTCACATTAGTACTTACTTCCAATCTAACTCTTACATAAAGAAGAGGTAGGCCTTAGGGAGGTTAGTCTCCTCCCAAAATGTGAAGGACCATTGTGTGTGTAACACTTACCAGCACTTTTGGAAATTTTATCCTTAATAGTATAAGTGCAGTCAGTATAAACCTGCACTTCTGCTAGAGCTTTCCCAAACCTGAACGTTCAACTCCTGCATTTGGTCCTCAGACTGCGTTAGACATATGTATTTTCAACATCTTTTAGCATCAGGATGCTCCAATCAATGCCTCTTGGCTTTCCCTGCTGTCTTTGGCACACCTTCTCTGACTGCTATTCTGTTACAGGCATGAGACCTTGTAGCCAAAGTATTGACTTGCAAGAGCACCCAACCAACTTCAATATTACCATTTTGCCATGCATCTAGTCATAACTATGCTTGTCTTTCAGAGTATCCTCCTGCATCTCACAGCTTCTTCAAAACAGAGAATCTACCTCTTTTATGCAGTCAGATCACTCGTCCTTCAGCTGAAAGGACCTTCTGCTACAAAAATAGGCCCATCTCCTCCCTAAACTCCCTAGACTTCATGAGTCTGCCTTAGTTTTTTCCATGCCCTCACACTTGGTGGCTTTTGAGACCCAGTGGTAGCACCAATGTCTTTGTTCTTGTTTGGGATTATCTGTTCTGTAAACTGCAATTCTGTCAGATCCTTTGTCAAACTGCTGTTCTTAGGTTTTAGCTACCCCATTATCCCATAGGCTTGTCCTCAGTTATGAAATAGGAACTGAAGATTATCAGAAGCTTCATCACTGTAAACTTAAGCTGCAAACTGCACTTCTTTAACCTACGGTGTATGACATTATTTAATAAAAAAAAAAATGGCACCAGTTCTCAAAAAAAAAAAAAAAAAAAATTTGCAGTTAGCTCTATATGCCATGTACTTTGTCACCTTTTTACAATAAAATTAATTCTTTAATCAGTTCTGTGCTCACTTAATTTTCCCTGTTGTTTGATAACTCTTCTCACCGCTGGGGAACAGAAAACTTTCCCTAGTGGAAGGTAGGAGTAAAGAAATAAATTGCAAATAATTTCTACAGAGTTCACACTTTCAGCTAGGAAATCATATTGGCTGCTTTTCAAAACAACTCAAGATCTGCAGTTTCACAAAATCCTTAGTCATCTTTTTGGTTTCACCAGTGCATGCTTATGCAAGCCAGCCCACAGACAGCTCTGATGTCTCCACTCTGAGTGAGAATTTCATCAACAGCACCAGTGCCCTGGTTAGTGTACTACCAGTAACAGGGAACATCTGAAAACCCAGTTTCATGCCCACAAAAGAATTGCAGACTGTGCTTTGTTGGCAGGCATTGGCTAGTTGCGGAGGACGAGAACCTAAAGAAGCAAATAAACCCCAGACACACAGCTATGGCTGCATATAGTTCCTTCTACCGAGGCAACCCCATCTCCTGCTATGCAGAGAAACTTCAAACCAAGACTATCTTGTAGCAGTCATCAGGCCCCAGCAAAGATGGAGTGGGAGTTTCCTCTCA